GGGGGATGTTCTGAGTCTCAGAAGGCAGAAGTTGGGAAACTGTATTCCTCAATCTCCGAGGGGATGAGGAGCAGCTTGGCAGCTTGGGGACCTGGCACTCAGAGGGACTTTAGGGGCAGGACCAGATACAGAAATTTGCAGAGTCCCTTGCTCAAAACTTAAGAATTTCACGACAGCGGCGGCAGGACATTCTAAGCGCTGGGCGGGTGAAACTGCTCACGCCGAGGGGCCTGAAAGTCAGTGTCCCCAAAAGGGCAGGGATTGAGGCGCTGTATTTCTGGGTCTCTGAGGGGACAAGAACAGGCAAGGTAGTTTGGGATCCTGGAGCTCCGAAGGACGGGGGACGTCCTTATTCTTAAAGAAGAGTTAGGGCTATTTCTGGCTCCCAGAGAGACGTTGGGAGTGGATGCCGGGATAAGGAGGACTTGCAGCCAGCTGGAGTCTGAACCCTAACGGGTGGAGTTCCAGAGGGTCCCCCAGGCTGGAGGACTCGGGATTATATGCCCCCCCACAACACACACACCTCAAGGGAGCTAGGTCTTCTTTGGCTGGGCTCCCCTTTCCCCCGCCCCATTCGAGGATGGAAGTTGGGGTGCCGGGGGTGGCCAGGGTAGATCCCCGGCGGGACAGGCTTCCCTCCCCGGGGAGCAGGAAGCGGAGCCCCGCCCAGCAGACCTGTTACTGGAAGTCCGAGGGCTGGGTCGCCCCTCCCGTCCCCACTTCCTCCAGCCCCGCCCCACCCCCTGCGGCCCGCGCGTTTATGGGAACTCAGGCCTGGACGGTTTCTCTGAAATCATTCGCTCCGTCTGCCCTCACTTAACCCTGGCCGCCCCGAGAGGGACCTAGGCCAGGGGTCCTGGGAGATGCAGAGAAGCGAGGAGCCTTACCAGGTACACCGGCCCCTCCCTCAACATTTTATTTTTAAATTTGGTTTTTCACGAATTAGGAGTCAGGTTCAGCAATTCACCTGCGTGATCGCACCCTGGCATGTGGGCGCTGTACTTCACCTAGCAGAAAACTGAGGCTCCAAAAGGCCGCCATGGCTTTGCCCTAGCACACGTCTAGGCTAGGAGGGGTTGTGGCCCAATTTGCAACTCTGGCCCCAGGATTTCTTCATTTCCATCAGAACCACCTGGGAGGCTGGTTTAAACTGGATTCTACAGACACATTCCACAAGAGAGACGAGTGGTGGTGAGAAAGGAATTACTCAGTAAACAGACTTTAAATAAAGATCCTGCCGCCCACTGTGTACACACAGGCCTCCTTGGGTCCTCCACTCTGTCCCCCATCCCAAGCAAACATGCACAGGTGTGCACACGCACGCGCGCGCGCACACACACACATCAGTCTCCAAATAGCTGTTCCAGGTTGGGGTCTCTGGAAACTGAGCAGGAAGTTCCTTGGAAATGCTCTCCATCAACACCTGTGGGATGAAGGAAGCCCATCTGGGCAGAAGGAGAAGTTGAGCTGCAGTGTCGCCTCTGCGCGGCCTCAGCCATCCCACAGAGAATATTGAAGCTGGAATGGCCTTCAGCATTGGGGTCAGGAGGCTAAGCCTTCTACGCTGGCATTAACCAGTGACTGGATGCCATTGAAGGGCAACTGCTCTTGATTCACATGGGGCGTGACCTTGGGCAAGCAGCTCTCTTCAGCTGAGGGTAATTCCCAAATGGTCTGAAAGCTGATGATCTTCCCAGAAGCTGAGGGAGTAAGTCCTTCAGTCTGGAAGGGGGTTCTGGGCTGTATAGCCTCCAGAACAATGGCCCCATCCCAGTTTGTCCTTATCTCCCTTTTAGTCAAAACTTTTGTTCCAGACTGGGCATGGTGGCTCATGCCTGTAATCCCAGCACTTCGGGAGGCTGAAACAGGAGGATCACTTGAACCCAGCAGTTAGAGACCAGCCTGGCCAACATGGTGAAACCCTGTCTCTACTAAAAATACAAAAATTAGCTGGGCGTGATGGCACACGCCTGTAATCCCAGCTCCTCGGGAGGCTGAGGTTGGATGATCGCTTGAATCCGGGAGGCAGAGATTGCAGTGGTGCTGTCTCGAGCGTGAGACAGCACCACTGCACTCCAGCCTAGGCGACAGAGCAAAACTCCATCTCAAACAAATAAAATAAAACAAAAGGGTCCCTCTGGCTGTTGTGTGGGGGACAGACAGTAGAGCATAGGTGGAATCAGGAAAACCATGAGGATGGAACTGTGCTAGACCAGCAGGGAGCCAGTGGTGGCTAAAGCAGGATGGAAGGAGTGGGTGGGGAGAAGTGTTTGGATACTGGGGACATTTCCAAAGCACTCAACACATTGGAGTTATCATTGCCAACAGCATGAGGGTGAGAGGTGAACAGCTCCTAATGCCTGTGATTCTTTCATTCCCCTACCCCCAGGCCTCTCCATATTGCTGTGGTGCAGGGTAACCTGCCAGCTGTGCACCGGCTGGTCAACCTCTTCCAGCAGGGGGGCCGGGAGCTCGACATCTACAACAACCTACGGCAGGTGAGGCTGGGTCTGAGGGAGGAGGGGCTGGGGGCCTGCTCCTGGGTCTGAGGGAGGAGGGGCTGGGGGCCTGGGCTCCTGGGTCTGAGGGAGGAGGGCTGGGGGCTTGGGCTCCTGGGTCTGAGGGAGGAGGGCTGGGGTCTGGACTCTTAAGTAGCGAGGTGCTCCAGGCTCCCGGTTCCTGGGGAAGAAGGGCTCTGGGGTCTTGGACTCCTTGTTCCTGAGAGGGAGGGAGCCTAAAGACCTCCTAGATAAGGACGGAGGGGGCTGGGGACCCAGAATCCCGGTACTAGGGAAAGAGGAGGTTGGAGGCCCAGTCTTCTGGGTCTTGGGGAAGGAGGAGCATGGGTCCCCCACTCTTGAATCTGAGACAGGAGGTGTCTCAGGTTTCTGTTTCTGGGGAAGACTGCAGGATGAGGAGTAAGGGTTCAGAAAACCTGAGGGAGGCAGGACTAGAGAGCAGGGCTGGACACAGGTCCCTCACAGTCACTGTTCCCCAGACACCGCTCCACCTGGCTGTGATCACCACATTACCGTCTGTGGTCCGGCTCCTGGTGACAGCTGGTGCCAGCCCCATGGCGCTGGACCGCCATGGCCAGACGGCCGCCCACCTGGCGTGCGAGCACCGCAGCCCAACCTGCCTTCGAGCCCTGCTGGACAGCGCAGCTCCCGGCACGTTGGACCTGGAGGCCCGCAATTACGACGGTAAGTATCTACCGCGGGGCACGGCTGGGCTATCCAGCGGACCTGGAGTCCATCAGCGTCCGCAAAGCCCCAGGCCTAGGTTTCACCAAGCCTTCCCCTCCCTCAGGGCTCACCGCCCTGCACGTGGCAGTGAACACCGAGTGCCAAGAAACCGTGCAGCTCTTACTGGAGCGCGGTGCCGACATCGACGCCGTGGTGAGCGCGCACTAGGAGCTGGGAGGGAGCCGGGCCTTAGCAGGGGCGGGGTCTTGTCGGGGGCGGGGCCCGTGTGGGGCTGGCGTGGGAGAGCGCCCGCGTGGGGCGGGGCTTGGAGTATCCGACCCAAGAGAGAGGCTGGACCCCACGAATGGGATGCGGTCGGGATGCGGGTCGCCAGCTGCTGGAGCAGAGCTTGGAGAAACAAAGACCTTCCCTCCCCGCCGCAGGACATTAAGAGCGGCCGCTCCCCGCTCATCCACGCCGTAGAAAACAACAGCCTTAGCATGGTGCAGCTGCTGCTGCAGGTGCGTACAGCGCCCCCTGAGCCTCGCGCCCACCCTGTCCTCTGACCCCAACCCGGCTCTGGCCCCAGCCTCTACCTCTGACCCCGCCTTCCAGTTCTGGCTCTTGCTCCTGCTCCGCGTCCAGCTCTCACCCTTCCTTTAAGGCCTAGTTCTCTCAACCCTCGGACTCCACGCCCCTGGCTACGAACATGTCCCATTCCTCCCCTGGCCCCTCAACGGCCTAGGCCCCGCCCTGCGTTGGCCTGGCCGACCCCACCTTCCAGCTAGGCCCTGTCCACGTATTGTCCTTCCCCCCTCCAGCCCCCCCAACTCCTTGGGGCGCGGGCCTCGGTGTCCAGCTCCGGTTCATTCAGCGCCGCCAGCGCAGTCCCGCTTGGCCCGCCCTTGGCTGTCGCTCCTACCTTCCTGTGACCCCACCCCATCCGGTGCCGCCCAACGTGCCGGCCACCTACCCGGGCCTCCAGCCTCTGTTCCCTTGCCCCGGGTGACCCGCGCGCCCTCCTAACCCGGCCCTCCCGCCCCGCAGCACGGCGCCAACGTGAACGCACAAATGTACTCCGGCAGCTCCGCGCTGCACTCAGCGTCCGGCCGCGGGCTCCTCCCGCTGGTGCGCACACTGGTCCGCAGCGGCGCTGACAGCAGCCTCAAGAACTGCCACAACGACACGCCGCTGATGGTGGCGCGCAGCCGCAGGGTGAGCCGGGGCGGCTGTGGGCATGCCCCTTGCACACGTGTGTCCGCGGGCTGGTGGCAGGAGAGTGTGCCAGAGCGCAGAGGTGTGAGGGTGTCTGTGCCGCTGCGTGGTGGGGGGTGGGTGAGTCTCTGAGAGCGAGGGTGTGAGTTCCAGAAATGAGGAGAGACTGGCACCAAGAAAAGAAGTGCCTTGCCCATCTTTTCCTACTGAGAGATGGAGAGGCCACCATCTGGATCCCGTGAGCTAGGAGGGATAGAAGGAGAGAGGGCTGTGAGGCAGGGGTGGCTCTATGGTGACGCCCATCTTCCTGCAGGTCATCGACATCCTGAGGGGAAAGGCCGCCCGGCCTGCTTCCACCTCCCAGCCAGACCCCTCCCCTGACCGGAGCGCCAACACCTCCCCCGAGAGCAGCAGCCGCCTCAGCTCCAATGGTGAGAAACCGCTCCCAACCTCCAGCCCTGGCGCCTCCTCCCTCAGACCCAGGAATCCCAACCCACGGCCCCTCCTCCCTCAGATCCAGGAGTCCAGGCCCCTAGCCTCCTCTCTCAGACACAGGAATCCCAAACCGTACCCCCTCCTTCCTCAGCCCCAGGATTCCAGGCCCCTAGCCTCCTCCCTCAGACCCAGGAGTCCAGACCCCTGGCCCCTCCTCCTTCAGACCGCAGCCCCTCCTCCACCAGACCCCCCCCAGCCCCTCCTCCCTCAGACTTCAGCCCCTCCTCCCTCACACCCCCAGTCCCTCTTCTCTCAAACCTCAGCCCCTCCTCCCTCAGACCCAGGAATCCAGATTCCCAGCCCCTCCTCCCTCAGACCCCCAGCCCCTCCTCCCTCAGACCCAGGAGTCCACACCCCTGGCCTCTTCTCCTTCAGATCCCAGTCCCTCCTCCTTCAGACCCCCAGCCCCTCTTCCTTCAGACCCAGGAGTCTAGGTCCCCAATGCCTCTTTCCTCAGACCCAGGACTTTAGACCCCTAGCCCCTTCTCCCTCAGACCTCCTGCACCTCCTTCCTCAGATCCAAGAGTCCAGACCCCCAGCCCCTCCTCCTTCAGACCCCCAGTCCCTCCTCCCTTAGACCCAGATCTCAGGCCCCAGCCCCTGCTCTCTGGGTCTAGCCTCTCACCACCCTCCCCCTCTGTCTCTCTTCCTTCCTCAGGTCTTCTCTCTGCATCACCGTCCTCCTCACCCTCCCAGTCTCCCCCCAAGGACCCCCCTGGATTCCCCATGGCTCCTCCCAATTTCTTCCTTCCTTCCCCATCTCCACCTGCCTTCCTGCCCTTTGCCGGGGTCCTCCGAGGCCCTGGCCGGCCGGTGCCCTCCTCCCCAGCTCCAGGAGGCAGCTGAGGGGGATGGGGGGGCAGATCTTGGACTCATGAGGAGGGGCCCCCTGCCCTGTGGGGTCAACCCTTCTGGAAACTGTGAAGATCTCACTCTGCCCCCCCCCATCTTCGGGACCAGGATTTGCACAGAAGCACATGCACCTACCCATACAGCCCCTCTTCTGAGCACAGTTCCCCCATCTCGCTCCCTGCCCAGAACTCTGACCCCAGTATTCTCAGGCACCAGTCCCTGTCCGGAATGCCACCCACATCTTCCATTTCCGTGTCCCCTCCCAGAGCTGGTGGACCCAGGGAACAGCCACTCCCCTCCACACTCTACCAGACAACTGAGGAGGGGAGAGGTGGGCTGTAACAGACACGGATCACGATGTAAATTATTAAGCATTTTGGTTGGATTTCTTTTGTAATAAACTATTTTTGTACCATATCCCTTGGGTGCATGGGCCTCTTTCATGGGACGGACCTGGCGGAAGTGCCTTCGTGTGTGTGCACACCCGTGCACTGAATCCAGTTGACTCCCAGAGTGATGTTGTGAGTCTCAGACAGACAATCTCCTGTGTATCACTCTGGGACTTCTGGTGTGTTTGATTGTGAATGTTGCCATCATTGTCACTGTGCCATTGTTTCTAAGGAGAACATGGTGTGTGGTATCTTTTTTTTTATTTCCCCAAGACAGAGTCTTGCTCTGTCACCCAAGCTGGAGCGCAGTGGCACGATCTCGGCTCACTGCAACCTCCGCCTCCCAAGTTCAAGCGATTCTCCTGCCTCAGCCTCCCGAGTAGCTGGGATTACAGGCGTGCACCACCACGCCCGGCTAATTTTGTATTTTTAGTAGAGATGGGGTTTCACCATGTTGGTCAGGCTGGTCTCGAACTCCTGACCTCATGATCCTCCCATGTCAG